ACAGCCTGCATTCGCGATCCCCGGTCAGATTACCCGGTCGGGTATTTTAGGTGGCGACCGGGGATTGTTGAAACGCACCGTTGTGAACAGGGGATTAATCCCCGGTCAGGGTCAAGAATACCCGACCAGGGATTTATGATTAATGCCCAGGCCCCCTTCTTCTTCTCAAACGCCCAAAACAGGTTTTCCCCGGTCTGCTCCGATTAATACCCGGTCGGGTATTTCTGCCCATGTCCGGGTATTTTGCTCCTCCAGCGCACTTCAACCCAAACGTGCTCCTTTCGACCCAAAACTCGTTTCTTCGCCTCGATGCCAACGCTAAGCCCTGAAATATGACATAAACACAACCTAGCGTGAAATCGGCTTAAAACACGAGAATCAACATCTCAAATGGCTCAAGAATAGGGGTAAAACCATGTGCAATTAACGGTCTATCAAACTCCCCCACACTTAACCGCTTGCTTGTCCCCAAGCAAACCTAACTCAAACCAATGCAACTCTCCAGACCTCTATAGCAACAAACAACCCCGATCGTCGGTAGAGGATTTTCTAGATCATAAAGCAGCTTACGAGGTCAACTGGTCTTCTAAGACGTCCCCTATCTCTCTCAATGCGAGTACTAGAGTCAAGCTAGGATCATGAGAAGAAGTAGAAGTAAGACAGTCAGTTCATGGATAAAGGGACTCACACTATTCACAACCAAGGACTTGTTATACCGAGGTGCTCTTTCACTTCATTTCACCGTTGGAACCCCTTTTTCTCACTTTCATTTACATTTCCTTTTTTTCTTTCATTTGGCGGGGTTCAAACTGCAGTAATTTGCACGGTCGACCCTTATTAGTCGAGCAAGAGCAATTTCTGTTCATCTGGCGCTCGCCAGAGTACTTCTTTAAACTCCTTTTCCTCAACTCGCGTGGAGGTCAATGAAATTAAGGGGGGTTGGAAGTTCTATCCGTGCCCTTAAAAACACATCCTAAAGTAGGCAAACCGTTCAACGGGTGGAAGTTTTACTTGTACTAGAGACAGCTTAGCTTCACCTTGTAGGAGTACCCCACTAAGGATCACTAAAATCTCTTCCAAGACCCAATTTTGTGCAATGAACGGTGCCACACACGTCGGGCTTACCCCATGTTTAAGATTTCCATGATTTCGACATGGAGGACCAACTGCTTTTCATTTTCCACATGAGCACCCTGTTCGATACACGAGTACATAACACAATCCAAACAGAGTCACCATTACCACATGAATTCAACGGTCTTAGCTCCACTAATTCACAAAATAAACTGGCACATCAGAGAGCTAGATAGAAAAAAATCTTATACTTCAACATCCTCCATAGTGCTACACTACCTTACTAGGTTGCACATTACTATAGAGACTGTCAATTCAAAGCATACTGAGCTGGCAATTTGCAAGGAAACACGTACTTGGAGCCCTCAAATTCAAAAATTTGGACAGTGGACTAGGCTCCAGCACATAAACAGCCAAACATTCACCTGCATACATAATCGAACATCCCCCCACACTTAAGCACGACATTTTCCTCAATGGAGGAAAGATAAGGAGGGTAGAACGAAGTTACCAGATCAAGGGTGAATGATGGTGGACGAGGCAGGCGGTGCATTCTAGGAGGAGAGAGTAGTCGAAACACAAACACCACACAAAATCTCACAAAGGTTGAGTTATTGACTCCAAAATCAAATAACAAAACTGACTCAACCGAGGATAAATAGAGAAAGAAATGCAACCCGACTGGTTGGGTTGCCTCCCAACCAGCGCTTCTTTCACGTCGTGAGCCAGACGATAGCTCCTAAGTTTCGGTCCACCCCAAAACCTCCTTGAAGTTGAGGTTCTTGTCAATGAGGTGGAGTCTCAAGTCTCGAGCATGTGGTATGACAGGTGATGGAAGCTCGTGCACTTGATGTAGATGAAGTCTCCACCCTCGAGACCTCTTCTTCTCTTCTCTCGTCTCATTGTCTCAAACCAGATATGACAACATCGATTGACCACCATCGCGTCCACCAAGAGGGACCGATGTCGACGTGGCCGTGGTTTGGCAAAGAGACACTGCAAATGGGTCCTTGCTAAGCAGTTACTCGAAGTTTGGTGGAGATATCACATGTAACTCATGGCTGGGGCAAGCCTCTTCCACCTCAACTTCTTCCTCGACCTGGACGCCAATTTCTTCTTCAACCTCCCTTCCTTCTTCATGTGGTATCACCCCTGGGAAATGATCAAGAACTCCTTCTGCTTCACTTTCGTCATCCTCCACAACTTCTTTCTCCACTCTTTCTCGCTCTTCTTCTTCTAGCACGGATTGGAGAGCAAGTTGCCAAGAAATTTCTTTCATGAGATCTTATTGCATCTCCTCACTCATGCCCGCCTCTTCAAAGCTCAGTTTGGGATGTGGGAAGGTGTGGTCGGCTCCGACAGGACATTCCTGATCATGATCATCACTGGAGCTCTCTGTGACAACTTCAGTGTGCTCCACAATGTCCTTGTATCCTTCTTCTTCTTCCTCCTCCTCTTCTAGTATGGTAGCAGAAGGCTGATCTGGAGCAGGTTGTGCATAAGATCGCTAAAGATCATCGACGCTCTTCTTAAAGCTCAGGAGGATCTCCTCTGTTTCACGATAGGCCTGGGTACAAAGATCCATCATGGACCATGATCTCTCACTGTCTCGAGCAAACTGCTCCATGAGAAGCCTTAATTCATAGTTTGGATCTGGCTGTGGAGTGTAGCATGACTCTGCAGAATGGCCCGTGAAGGCCGCCATGGGTAACTCCAGCTCCGATGGCCCTTCTGGTTGTGGAAGAAATTCTTCTTGGTAATGAGGTTGTTCTTGATATGCTCAGGGGTCTGATTGTTCTCCGTAGTAAGGGGGTTGGTACTGGAACCCGAATCCGTAGTCTTCTACTCCTTGATTGCTCCAGGGGGTCTCGGGGTAATACCACTCGGACGGTGGTGGATACTCCCAATGGTTGGAGAAGCCATGAGGATCCATGATTCAGATCTGCACCAACAAAAAGAAAAACACCCAAGTGAAAAGCAAGGGTGGAAAAGAAAAGAAAAGAAAAGAAAAACGCTAAAGTAACAAACTTCTGCTTTTCCTAATAATCTAGAAAGTCCCCGGCAACGACATCAAAAACTTGACTCGCTAGGACACAACTCCTAACAATGGCCAAGTGTAACCAATGAAAGGGACTGCAGTATAGTGCTCAAGTAATAAATATCGAATCCACGGGTCTCTAGAGTTACTATTACTCAGCTTCAGTTCATTATCTAGCAAACCAGATTAAAATGGAACAACTAAAACTACTCTAACAAACTACAATTAAAGTTAATCTAATTATAGGTTGGGAACTCACTTAGGTATGATTCCCCCTAGTCACTAGCCAGATTAATGATTGATGATTTCTAACTTGTTTCACTTTCATTCACAATGCAGAGAATCCTTGACTAGACCTTGAATCTCGACTAAAGGATCAAGGCCCTCTTGAGTCGATTGCCTAGAGGGACGTATCCTTCTCTAGAACAACCGATCAAGGCGTTCTGAACTAGACTCCCTCTATCGAATGAGGTTCTCAATCGATACAAAGCAGTGAATCAACCCTCGACTAAAGCAATCGATCCAATACTATCAATCTATGGTGCTCTATTGACCTAATCAGGTATTCGCTCGCAATGTAGTTAAAATCGAGTTTCTACGTAGAAACGTTTTGGTGATTTAGAAGTGTAAAATCGTAAGTTTTTAAGTTTTAAAACGGAGTTTTTAACTGCATAAGATATAAAAACTGAGATTTTGTGTAGAAGCGTTTTAGTGACCTAAAAACGTAAAATCGTAAGTTTTTAAGTTTAAAACGCGATTTTGACTACATTGTTCGCTCTCATAGTTACAAAGCAGATCAATAATCTCGACTAAAGCAGAATTGAATCATGAAAACGTGCATAGATTGAATATGAACTCAAGATTATCAAGTAGGAGTACTCATACAATCATCCAATCAAACAAACATGGCTAGGGTTCCTCAAAACCTAAGTGAAGGGAAGTTACTCCATAGAGAAGAGAGAGACTGTAGTAAGAATCTTCAGATGATCAGTCTTCAAGTCTGGGCTTGTTCCTCGATTTTCCAAGGCGAAGAAATCCTCCAATTCCACTCTTAGAATGCCCTCAAACCGCCCTCTCTCTCTGTGGTTCGTCCCTTGGGTGTGTGTCGTACGCATCGACGGCAGTGGCGCGAACCTCTTAAAGAGAGCGACCTAGTCCGCGACTCAGCTCCAAATTCGATAACCTCATTCTTGGTTGTTGTTCCGTTCCTAACAATTGGACGGTATTAGGTTAATAGTGTGGAGTTATTATTATGGCAGGAAATATATATATATATATATATATATATATATATATATATATGTGAACTTCAGCGGATCTAAAGAAATAAAGTGAGGAAGAAGTTCGCTGGAGAAGATGATTTGGTAATTGGGTTCGCTGGAGAAGATATTTTCCAGTGGTTCTCGGCCTTTATCAGCGAACTACTCCCATTTGGGGCTTGTTCGCTAGATACTCCCCAATTTAGGTTAGATCGCTCTACTTTACGACCGATTTGGTAGTGGTTCGCTTGACACACCAGTGAACCATTCCAAATTTGGGTATTTTGGAAAATTTTAGAATAAGTGTGGTATGTTTGGAATTTTTTTTTTGACAAGTAGGATATTTTGGGATTTCTTCCGATTTCTAATGGAAAATGTAGGTGATTATAAAAAAGAAAAGAAATCATCTTCTCCAAACGACACCTATGTACTGCTTGTATGCTTATTACTGACTTACTTGGGCCGGTCCAGGTTTTAGGGTCAAATCAGCCGCGGGATTCCTTTGCCCATCGTTTGCCACAACTTCCCCCCTCCCTCTTCGATTGTGTTACTCGCACGCTCTCGGAGAATTAGTCTTTCACTCTTTCTCTTCCCCAGCCTTTCATCTGCCGTCCGCCGTTCATCGATCCATGGCTAATCAGAAGAAACCCGACTGGCCGAAGCTCCGGTACGGGGATGGCGAGTGCGCACGCTGCCGGGAGCTTGATAAGCTGAAGCTGAAACCCAAGCCCGATGACCTCGATTATATATGCCAGGGCGACGATTTCGAGGGCGACGAAGAACTGATGTTAAGGGTCATCCATTACAGGAGGAAGTGTAATGTGACCGGTGTAAGTATCTCAACTCATCATAAAAAAACTGATCATAATTAATCAACTCCGATGTTCACCATGTTAGGGTTTCTGAATTTGACTCTTTTTGAATGTGCAGTGTTTCGATGTTGATTAACAGAAGGTAACTAAGTGGGTAAAATTCGTGATCGACACATACAATCAACAGAAGGTAACTAAGTGGGTAGTTCGTGGTAACGTATACTAGCTAGCATATATACATGCGTGTTAATTAAATTGAATAATGTTTTGCAGGGTCAGGACTTGATCCTACTCAGCATCTTGAACGTAAGCATCCAGCGTGTTTATCGCTATTATATATTCTATGTAACTTTCGAAGGCTTCAATGAGTCCGATGAGAGCAGTGTGAGGAAGAGTTATGTCGAGACTTACCAAACAGTGGGGTCTTGTGCGTCTTGGAAATTTGGTAAGGATTTTCATAGATGGGATTTGTTACCACCTGATTCCTCTTACGAAGAAAGAAAAAGGGTAAAGAAAGAGCTGATGGGGACCTTGGCTTGAAAACCAGAGGAGATGGAGCCGCTTTCAGAGCTAGCTGCTAATGAGTAATGTTTATTGTTTGTCTACGATGAGTACTCACGCTAGCTCAATATAGGGTGAGTAACCTTAGGGTGAGTACTCACGCTAGCTGCAAAAGCCCTACCGGTAGAAGGAGACCATAGAGGAAAATATCCTATTACGTACAACTCTCGGCAGGTTGTGATCCGTGAAGGGAGTTATCTAAATCTAGTTTGGGTCCAAGTAAGAAACGACAACGAGATGGGGAAACGAAGAGTACCTGCGAGAAGACGAAGAAGAAGAAACATAATGGTGGAACAAGTGCAAGCGGGTTCGGGAAGAAGTGCAACCCGAATTCAGTCATTGAGATACTCGATGGCAATATTACGCGCGCGGGAGGCTATTCTGAAGAAGCTGGGTCTTGGATGTCTGCTCAATTTGAAGATGAAGCGATTTAATATCACCTTGCTGGGGTGGATGACTAGAGTTTTGACGTGGATTCAATGTCCATAGCAATGGAGGATGGGAGGCAGCTGAATTTCACTATGGATGATGTACAGAGGGTATATGAGCTTCCAAGTGGTCCGAAAATGGTTCTTGAGATTGATCCAGAGCAAGTGAAGGGGTTGTGAGATTCCCTACATGACATGGATGATGAACCAGCAAATTCGAAAAAGATTTGGAAGTTGAAGGATAAACTTGCTACGGTGGAGGATGACAAGTTGTGGATCCAGCTTTTTGTACCCACGGCCTTTGGTTACTTATACACTCCCAGCATAGCGAACGTTGGTCATTCGTTGGTGTTGGAGTTTTTGAAGGATGATGACTTCTCACAGTTTGCTGAGTACGACTGGTGCTACTATTTGTGGGGTTGCATGAGGTCGGCCTTCATTCTTAATAAGACCAGGAGCTACACTAATGGCGATATGCACCTGCTGTTGGTGTGGTTCCTTGATAGGACTGTAGACATCTTAGAGCTCCCCACCGATATCCCCTCATGCAAATTATGGAACACCTATGCCTGTATGATACGAAGCAAAGCATTGTTGCAAAAGTATAAGATGCACAACACTACTTCTGCTGTTGTTTCTATCAAAATTGCTCACATGAGGCTGTTAGAGGTATTTCCTACAACACCCTACCGAATTTGTTTTTTTTTGTTATATTAGAAAACTAGAAAATAATTGTGGTATAAGAACGAGTACCAGTAGTAATGGATGTACCAGTAATTAGTAGTGGTACATGTACCAGTAACCACTAGTGGTACAAGTACCAGTATCACTAATGAGAACCTGTACCAGTAATTTCCAGTGGTAGAACACTTATTTTTGTCAATATCACTACAACTTCTAAATACTTATACTTTGGAAATGTATATTTTGTTACAGGTAACTGCACTTAGAAAGGGGTTTCTGGATATGGCACCTATTATAGCTGGCAGAATAGCGAAGTGCGATGGTCGCATTAATGAAATCCATTTTGCGGAGGCCCAGGAAGGGGGCAATGATGCAAATAATGATGATGTTGTAGAGGTTAAGGATATGATGTCAAGGGACAAGAACGATGGTGAAGAAGGTCTACGAGCTAGTGCCATAGTAGTTGATAGTGGGGAAGGTGAGGATGGGGATGATGAGGAGGAAATTGAAGGTGAGGAGGAAAACGATGGTGCTGAAGATGAAGAACCCGATGAGGACGAGGAGGAAGATGAAGGTGGGGATGGGGATGGCGAAGAGGAAGTTGAGGACACTGAAGATGGAAGTGCAGACGGGGACAATGGTGCTATGGGTGAAGGTACTAATACCGGGGAAGAGGTGGCTGACGATGATAGAGGACACGAACCATCTAACCATGATGATGAATTCGATGCAACCGGTATAGTAACTGGTACCACTAATGATGTTTTTTTACGAGCTAATTCTTGGTGGTGTAGACACTGGTACTCATATGGAAACCGGTACTAGTACTACTACTACGCACAATTACATGAAGAACTAACATTGCTTATTTTGTAGACCCTGGTACTCTTGGAGTTGGGATCACTGGAAAATACACCTGACCTATTGAAGTGAACGAGGCTATTTTATCGGGAGGTGAGGTTATGTTAGATTTTCTGCATACAAAATGAGGTGAGTTGGATTTTCTATTATTTTTGTTGACGATTATCTGTATGTTCCTGTAATTTAGATAGTGGTAACTTAAGTAAAGCGAGGGTGAAGTGTACCACTGGTGGGGACGGTGTTCATCCTCTAGGAGGTAAACAATTTACGGTTGTACTTATTTGTTGTTACCAGATAAGCACTTTAGTGACTACTAGTAGCTTCTGATTTGTACATGTGGAGAGGAACTAGTAGTGGTACCAGTGACGCGAACCTTGTACCAATAAATTGCGCTCAAGGTACCAGTAGCGAAAACTATTTTTTCCCGACTTACGACCGCCCTTTATTTTTTGTAGAAACTTATCAAATTAGGGAGCAAGACGAAAAAGAGGCTGAAATGGACCCATCTGTGACAATAGCTGAGTCTTTGTCAGACATAAAATCAGACATTGAGGCGGGAACACAAGCCATAGGGAAGGACCATGGTGATGATGATTTCCAGAAGCCATTACACCGAACCAAACTCTACCAACTTCGCGCCAAAAGACAACCTAATCAGTCGATGTTGTCTTCCTACCGTGCATTTGATGGCACTTCACTTTTCCCAAAGCTGACTATAGCGGCTGGTTGGCCACTAACTGGTCAGTCCTCTACTGCAAGTGAGAGTGCAGACATTGTAGCCCAATATCAAAAGGATAATTAAGGTTCGAGTATGCGTGCATGAAAGATGGTGATAGGTATGAATCATTTTCTTAGACGGGCACACATTTTAAATGATTTCTACATTTGCTTAATTGACACTCACGTGAACATATTTTGATTCTCAATTTATTTTTAGGGATTACAATGAAGTGCTAAGCACCGTTGCCGGCAGCAAGTATACATTGAGCAGGCTGGATGCGATGTCAGCAGTATTTCACAATGCTATGACTAGCAATTTTGTTGACTGTTATCTGATTATTTAAACAGGAAGATGGGCTTAACTGGTACAATCACAAGATGAGTTTACAACACCGAGCATGCAGTAAGAATGATTCCATTTCCTCCTACTCTCATTTATGGTTTCCATTTTTAAAAGTGATAACAGTAATTTTTAAAACTGGTACAACTTCGTAGTACATCAAACCCACTCCAAATATACACAACTCTCTATGATTGTTGAAACCAACAAATAATCCTGCATTAATTGGAATGAGCAACAAAAGTACCATTAGTTCACTACCAATGATAGGTACCAATACCATTACACAAGCAAGTGGTATGAAAATTATAAATACTAGTAATGAACTACCAATGACACGTACCTAAAGGTCTGGAGCCTTGGTTCGTCTTGTAGTTCGTGTTGAAACTTATTGCGTCACCAAAGCACTCATAATCAAACTGCATTCTGCCATCCGAAAAAAAGACAGTCACAATTTCATCACCCGCATCTACTTGCATCTCGTAGAAAAAAATGATGGGTCACATTTGGTCCTCCTCCTGAAATAGTCGTGCAGAACACGTGCATCACCTTTCGCCATGCGCCTGTTCCTTGCCTTTTGTGTACAATTTTTCAGATCCTTCTTTGTGAACGGGAGATTCTCCTTCCCCCCGACCGCAACAACAAATGAATCATAAGAGTTTTGAACAGGGATCCCCGCACAATCGTTTATTTTGGCAAAGTATGCATATTTTGCCGTTACCTCACGATTTGAGCGCATAAAACGTATTGAGAAGGCATTGTGCAGTTCATGATCATGCTCGTCTATCCATCTGTAAATCATGTACTTACCGGATGACTGCTCATACCTGCACATAACAATAGCTTGACAACCAAAACGAGTCTCCCCCCTTTCCCTTTCTTTAGGGAGCTCTGAGTCAACGACCTCTTGATGATTTTTCAGGTCCAGCCTGCTATTTTTTCTGTACCCTCGTTTACTACACTCACCTCCAAAATAGAATACGAATGGTTCTGGAAAGTATGACCTTTTCTTCTTCAACGCACCAACAACTCTTGACGAGAATCCTCTTCCATGAGCAAAACACTTGTAAAAGTGACTAAATTCATCTTGATTTTGGAATTGAAAGTGCCCCCAAGTTGACTCATCTGCTGGGACGGTAGTTGATACCACATCTGTAATTTGAACAAAACATCGGAAGTGACATTATAGATGTACACGTACCACTGTAAATATACTGCCACTACATTACTACCACTGGGCCACAACCACTAATTCAATAGTGGTACCATTATGTGCATACCACTACATGACTACCACTACTAACGACCTACCATTAAGCGACTAAAACTCCTAATAAATACTACTAATGAAGTACCACTATATGACTACCACTACTATAATACCACTACCAACGATCTACCACTAACTCACTAGTGGTACCATTATGTGTTGGCGTTAGTTGTACCAATAAATTAACTACACTGGTTAACCCTACCAAGAATGTTACCGCCGGCGACATTCATCGTGCTGTCATCATTCTCTTGAAGTGGTGCGACGACCTAAGGCTTGAAATCGTCGGTTTTATCAACGTTGACGTACTGTTCAACGAAGAGTGTTCAAGAAGAGTGGTTGTGGCCCAGTGGTAGTAATGTAGTGGCAGTATATTTACAGTGGTACGTGTACATCTATTATGTCACTTCCGATATTTTGTTTAAATTACAGATGCGGTATCAACTACCGTCCCAGCAGATGAGTCAACTTGGGGGCACTTTCGCTTTTACAAGTGTTTTGCTCATGGATGAGGATTCTCGTCAAGAGTTGTTGGTGCGGTGAAGAAGAAAACGTCATACTTTCCATAACCATTCATATTCTATTTTGGAGGTGAGTATAGTAAACGAGGGTAAAGAAAAAACAACAGGCTGGACCCTAAAAATCATCAAGAGGTTGTTGACTCAGAGCTCCCTAA